CCCCAAAACCCCAAAACCCCAAAACCCCAAAACCCCAGAGAAGTAAAATGTATTGAATTTTAAAATGAAACTATTTCCCCTTCTTCTTTCCTTTGCCCTTTCCTTTCTTTCCACCTTTAGCTTGACTAAAACCACCTTGATCTTTCCCCTTCTTTGCTCCTTTGTTGCCGCCTGTCTTAGAATCTTTATTTTCATCTAGTCTATTGATCCTCGATTCGATAACTCCTTTGAACTTCGTCATTCCTTCGATCCCATAGGATTTTGTCTCTTCGAGAGATAGACTACCATATCCAAACTAAAGGTTTAATGACAATCTTACTTCAAGCTTTTTATGACAAGAGAAGCAGTTGAAAATAGCATTCTGAGCAGGGAGAACGTCTTCTTGTGGGGAAGCATATGATCAATGGTCACAGGTAATGTCAAAACTCACTGAATTGATATCGATCAATTTAGTGTTTACAGAAACTAAACTTCCTGCATCGTATTGATTCCCAATATGGATCAAGTTGAAGTTGCATATCACTACTATTTTTGATTTGCATTTGTAGCATGGTCTTGAGTAATTTAACAATCTAAAAATTAAATTTCAAGTTTACCTATCCTTAGTATCTAATAATTTTAGTTTTGCCTTAAATGCCAATCCACATATAATGCACATGCATGAAATATTCATGAAACTCATTCCTGCTGCAGCAACATCTATCATCTCAACGTCTAAATTTTTAACAAATTATAATTACTTGAGATCAAAAGGAGAGTTTTAGTTGAATTTTGGAGAGCACTCTTTGCTGCATTAACTTCATGTTGACTTCCTTTCACCCTCTCCTGCAAGGTCCAATCATCTTCATCATCTTCCTCCTCCTCTTTCTTAAACTCCTTTGATTCTTCTTTGTCTTGAAGTCCTAGGGTATCAGCTGATACATATTTAGCAGTCTTTCCATTTTTATTTGCATCCTTGTCTGCCTTATCCTTCTTCACTCCTTCTTGAAACTTGACTTCACTCTTACATTCTTGGAGAGATTTTGTATTGACAAATCCAGCCACATATTTCCATCTATCTTCTGGCTGTTTGATAAACTCAGCAAGTGGATAAAACTCTTTAGCAGCTGTCAGCTTCCTCAACTCGTTCTTAGCCCAAAAATCTTCGGAATCCATAGTCAACTTCTCGTGGACTGTCTTCATCATATCAGGGAGGTATAACTCCACCAGCTTCAAGGCATGGAGAACTTTTTCATTCTTCAAGTTCTTTGAGGTTTCAAAAAGGACATTCTCCATAGCATCCTTGATGTCTTTCGGAATTGCAGTGTTTCTGATACCTAAAAATTAGAGTCGATAACCATACTAAAGCAAGGATAGATATCACTCTCCTGCTCATTCATCTTTTGGAGTACATAGATCTCTATGTACTCTACAAGAAGTTTTTCCTTCAATTCTTCCTTGAAACATTTTGGGCTATAGATTACATCAAAACTTTTACATAATGTTTACACAGAACAAAGCTAGAGCAGACTTGTTCGCTTCCTTTACTGTGTGGAAGGAATGAATGAAATTCTTCCTGATATTTGCCTGCTCAATAAGGAAAGATGGCTTTCTGACATCTGCAAAGCATAATTGACTCATTAGCTCTTTCTGAAGTGGATTGTCTACATCTTCCTTCCTGTAGCCATCCTCTAGGAGTTTTTCAACTAAAATTTTGTTAAAAGTCTGACTAAAGAGTAAAAGCCATACCTTCATGTACAGAGTCTATATACTTTGAATATCCCACTTCAAAGAACTTGCTATTTTTGCTCAAAACTTCTTTATAATCGTCTTTGTTAAATCCCCCAAATTTCTCTTTAAAAGTACTAGGATCTAATGATTTTAAGTCGATTGAAGGTCTTCTCTTCTTCTTTTTCTCTTTCTTTGGCCTCATTAGGGGATCTATCTTTTTCTCTTCTTCATAATTGTACTCCCTAAAGACATGAGAATAATATCATACTTCTTGTTTGGGTGGGCTTTGTGGCCTCCACCACCACCACCTCCTCCTTTTCCCTTTTTGTCACCGTAGAGCTGATCTTCCTCAAATTGAGCACTACAAAATTATGATCAAAGTTGAGTGAATATTGGTGAATACCTCAGAAAGAGAATATTATACTTACTACTCATCATAATAATCATCATAGTAGTCATCGTAGTAGCCATCAGCACCACCTCCAACATAATCATCATAGTAGTCGTCAAGCGCTGTTGCTTTCTTAGATCCAATTCTATATAATTTTAGATTTCTCTTTTCCAGCTCGTAAAGTTCGACAGAATTAAATTAAGTCTTTCAGGAATCCAAAGGGATTCTTAGGCTTACTTCATATTTTTGTTCTTTGACTTTTTATTCTTCAAGCCTGGCTCTGAAGGCTGGTAATCAATGTACTCTGTCTGCTTGTAAGTCTTGAGCTCTTCTCTTGTACCATGATAAAATTTGCATCGCTTGCCAAGCTTACATCCTCCAAGGTCATAGAAAAATCTTCACTTAGGCGGTAAACCCTCCTCTCTATATTAAGCTTGTTAGAAAATTATCTATTAGCTGACTAATTTATGAACTAAATAAGAGATCTGAAGTGTCTGATTAGTTTGATTTGAATAAGATTGCTTACTTTTTGTCTTTTCCTGGCATTTTAGTCTTAAACCCTCTAAATTATTTAATTAATATATAAATCTCAGATAATTTGTTCTTAATATCCATTCAGTTCCCGCTAAAGGACTGGGGTTTTGGGGTTTTGGGGTTTTGGGGTTTTGGGGTTTTGGGGTTTTGGGG